ATATATATATGTATATATAAGGGAGTCCGAAACTTAATTAAAGATTTTTTGTACAAAAAGCACTTTTTTAATGTTTTAAAAAAAAAGTTACATTAATGAGTACTTCACAGTTTTATACTGCGAATAGGGTTAACGGAATTTTTACCGTTAAAGCAATTCGCAGTATAATACTGCGAAATATTAAAAAAAAAATTTTTTTTTATGCAATTCGCAGTATAACTTGAGATGGGCCCAGCTCATTTTTCAAATATCATTTCGCAGTATTATACAGCGAATTTGGCTAATTCGCAGTATAATGCTGCGAATTAGACTGAATTTAGGTCTCACCAATAATAAATTGACATAACAATAATTCAAATACGTAAAACGCAGTATAATACTGCGAATTACTTTGAAAAATTGTACACCCCAAGCTCGGACTTGCCTTATTTATAGACGTTTCAATTTTATAAAAATTCATTCAACACTTAAACTTCAAACATGCGTTCATTATTCTCTCTTCTCCTTATCAATCAATTTTTTACAATGTCTGAAGTGCCAAAAATAAGGGTTTCACTGTATTGGGGGGGGGGGTGAGGTTGTGGTGGAGAATAACTCTGTGAGGTATAGCTCACCTCCACAGTGTCATGTTAAATTGCAGCTTAATATGGAGTACGATACATTGGTATCGTTGTTACGTAAAAAAAATGAGTGAGCGGAGGCGTTCGGTTAGCCTTAAAGTAACCGGTAGATTTCCTTATTCAGTGACTCCGCAGGGGTTTGCTTATTATTCTGAGTTTAACATCGAGGATGATGAAACTCTTAGAGATTTTTTGCGGATTCCGGACGAATACAGGGAATTTATTGTAATAAAATTATTGAAAATGTACGTGAAGGTGGAGGACCTTCCTAGTAATGAGGGCGTGCATAACAGGGATAACCCCCAGTCATCGGGTGGTTATTCTGGAGAAGCTTTTGCCGGACAGATTGCAGATGAAAGAGCTTGCCTTGATTTAAACTTGTCACCACAGGCGAATGAGCAGCCACAAAATAATGTTTCCACCTTATATAATCAACAAGACGACTGGTAAACTTCAATTTTACTACGTTTTAGCGATTTTTTTTTCATGTTTTAATTGGATTTTTATTAACACTCATATTTTTTATAGGGGGTATCGTCCGGATTTGAATTTTACACGTTATGACCCCGCCCCTAGTTGGAATATGGGCAGGTCTGGAGTAATGCACCACGATGGTCCATCTGGTAGTTATCAGCAACATGAAAATATCCATCATGAAACGTCAAGACAATACGATTTGTAAGTAAAGTGATATAGCGATATCTAAAGTATTTTTCCTGAGTATTGGGTAACTTATGTATTTGTTCTTTTTGTGCAGTGAAAACGAGCTTCTTGAAGCTCCTGGCCTCACACAGTTGCCCATAGACGACGTTTTTACTCGTGATTTGGCAGATGCGCAGAGTCAGGAGGATGATAGTGATTATGACAACAATGCGGATGAGTCTGGGGATGACACACCCTTCCATGATGAGGGGGATAAGGAGGAGGAGGAAGTGAATGTTGAACCTGAGCGGACCAGGGAGCATGTTCCTCCACCTCCCGCTAGACCAAAAGTGTATGAGACCCACGTGCCATTTCATGAGCGAAATATTCCCTACCTTGATAATTTGCCAAGCATGCCTAACGTCGATGCCCTCACAAGGGATGATGATGAATTACGGTCAGTGATGTGGGATGAATCTAGACCAATTATTCTTACAAAGGGCATGTATTTTCCTGATAAAGCTCGCCTAATTAGGGCTGTAAAAATATACAGTATAAGAGAGTGTCGTGAGATGACGGTAAGTGAGTCAACTACGGAGAAATACAAGGTTGTATGCCGTAGGTGGTTTATGGGTTGTCACTGGATGCTGCGTGCCACAAAGAAAAAATCAGGTTTGTGGAAAGTGGGTAAATTTATTAGCGAGCACAGATGTAAAATGGACACATCAATGAGAATCACTTCAACTTGGATGTGGACTTGATTTCCCTTGTCTTGATTCCATTTTTGGAAGTGTCCATTAGGTTCAAGATTAAAGAGTGTATTACAGCCGTCCACCAAGAGTATGGTTGTACTATAACCAAAAGAAAGGCATATCTCGGTCGCAACGTGCCTTTGAACTTATTTATGGCGACTGGGATAAGTCTTTTTCAAATCTGCCCAGGTACATGGCTGCACTGCAACACTTTAACCCCGGGTATGACGGCGGTACCACCCAGCATACAGATGAATAGAGGCCTCCTGGAAAACTGTAGGTGGTAGCGGAATGCGCTCAGCTCGGTCCTCCCAATAAGCTATCTGCTGCTGTAGCCATCCAATATATTGCCGGTCCATGTTCGAACGGTCGTCCCGCTGATAGTGTGTAGGCTCCCATCCAGACTCCCTCGGTGTAGGCTGAGGACGGCCAAACTGTCGAAGCACACGCTCCGTGGCATGATACTCAACGTAATCCCAGAAGATCAACGGGACGGAAGTGCTCCAAATCAGCCGGTCGACTGAGCAACAAGCGGGTAGCTGACCAAGCAACTCGATGCTGTATGGCGTCCAGATGAACTACCAATAGTAACAAAAAAATGAGTACGCAAAACACAACTCAATTTAAAACAACCAAGTGTAGGTACATATTTACCTGTTTGTCCACCAACATATCTAACACATCCCTAAGATGGGGGATATTATGATGAGCATCCGTCCCTCGGTAGGTCCCACGCCGGAGAATCCACCTGATAGCTAGAGGGAGAAGCGGATAATCCTCACCGGGCGGGAGTAGTGGTAGAGGTGGCTGCAACGGCATGATCCGCTGCCAGGCCCAAACCTAAGATAAAATGTTGATGTAAATTTATGAGTCATTTCACGATATAGAATTTGGGGTAACGAACAATGTATTCGGAAATTTTTTGCACCTGCAGGAGGGGCAGAAAACCACATATATCAACCGCTGGACCTACGCTCGCCCGGCACATGCTCCTATATAGATACGCCAGAACAGTAGCACCCAAGTTGTACTGTGGTAGCTCATCCATCTGCTCAAGACAATGGAGAAAGCGCATACTCACTTTACTCCCCGAAGTGTCCGGGAACAAGACACACCCGAAAAGTAGGAGCAACGCCAACCGAGTGTACTTCCAAAGATGGTCCGTCTCGTGGGTAATATCTGGGTGCAAATCCGCCATCTGATCTCTAATGAATGACAAAGCCACGCGACTGCCACCCCTGTCACCCTGAGGTCTAGAACCAGTCAAGTGCCCCATCATGTCCGCCAACTGTGCACGAGTCATCCCTCTCCGGTGGTGGGGCAGTGCGAAGGCGCGTCCCTCTACGCACAGTCCGTATAAAACCTGGACATCCTGTAGCGTGATGGTGGCCTCTCCAGTGGGCAAGTGAAATGTATGTGTCTCCGGTCGCCACCGCTCTACCAAGGCCGTGATGAGCGACCAATCAAGCTGCATCCGTCCAAGCTCAAAAATGGTATATAATCCCGTAGTCTGGAGGCTCTCTACTACGCGCTCATGGAAAGGATGCTCGGCAATAAACTCCCACAAATCATCAGGCCTCCTGGGGCGGAGAGCCTGCATTGATAGCTGTCCCTCCCAAACATAGGAGGACCTATGGTCGCCCTGCAGCACTAGTAGCTGATCCTCGGCAGGTCCAGGATGCGCAGGCGGAGGAAACGCCATGTCGTCTACTATAATTTAAACAAAATTAATTGTTTGTGTTAGTGTAATAAATTAAATAATTAAGTATGATTTTTGAATTGGAGATAATAGTTATGTATGGGTTCCAGGCTTGATTTTTGAGGCCCGGTACCACCGAATAATCCTTAATTATTATGCGTCTCAATTTCAACATTTTTAGAATTTTGTTAACTTAATAAATTAAATTATAAATTTTTGAATTGGAGATAATAGTTATGTATGGGTTCCAGGCTTGATTTTTGAGGCCCGGTACCACCGAATAATCCTTAATTATTATGCGTCTCAATTTCAACATTTTTAGAATTTTGTTAACTTAATAAATTAAATTATAATTTTTTGTAATTGGAGATAATAGTTATGTATGGGTTCCAGGCTTGATTTTTGAGGCCCGGTACTACCGAATAATCTTTAATTATTATGCGTCTCAATTTCAATATTTTTAGAATTTCGTTAGCTACTGAGACTCTACGCTAAAAGGCTCTACATTTTACTACGCTAAAAGGCTCTATATTTTACTTCGCTAAAAGATACTATATTTTACTACGCTATAAGGCTCTACAATATGAACATAACATTAACAATACAAATAAACAAAATAAATAATATTATTTAACAATACAAATTATTTATCAAATTTTAATACAAATTATATAAGAATACAAATTATTTATCAATTTTAAGCATTTTTGGTCACAAACATAACATAAATTCGGGTATATAAATCAAATATAACACAAACAATCCGGTAGCATTTTTGGTCACAAACATAACATAAATTCGGGTATCAAATAAATCAATCCGAGTATATAAAAGATACAAAATTAAACACAAACATAACATAAATTCACATGGAAACATGCTAAACAATACTAATATGTATGACTATACGAGTTTCGGCATAAACTAAATTGAAATACCTCGATGTAAATTTTTTGAATATTGTTGAAATTGAATTTTTGCACTCGAAACACGGTATCCAAAGCTTTTTTGTATGTGGGACCTACACGCCTTGCTCTTTATGGGACGGGTGGGCCCGAATTTTTTTTTTTTTTAAATAAAACGGGGGGTGGGGTACAGAAAGGCTCTTGAGTTTGTTTTTTAATGGAGGGGGGCTGGAATGTCGGGGAAGATGGAAGAAGAAGAGCCTTATTTAATTAAGGCAATTCGCAGTATAGTACTGCGAATTGCCTTAATTAAATAAGGCTGGGCCCAACTATTACATTAAACGCTGTGTTTTTGTTAAGAAAAATAATAAAAAAATACTTCGCAGTATTATACTGCGAATTGTTTTAACGGCAAAATTTTCGTTAAACCCAATTCGCAGTATGATACTGCGAAATACTCATTTTTGTGACTTTTTTTTTTAAAACATTAAAAACATACTTTGTGTCTAAAAAATCATTAATTAAGTTTCGGACTCATGCGCTAAGGGGTTTGTAAATAAATTTGGCCATATTTGGCCAATCCGAGTATTTCCATGTACTCTTTCCAGAAGGAAACCCATTGTTTGTCTCCTATGAAGTAAGAAGCACCAATCACCTATCCACATTCCCAATGCACTTTGGTTGGGTAAGGAAATGACTCATTGGATTAAGCTTTAAAGTATTAAATCTATTCTTGAAGTGAAAGTCATATAGATATGAAATTGTGTCGAACATTTTGAGATGTCCCAAAATGAAAAGAGTGTAATAGATGGGAGTTTGTTTGTGGATATTTGAATAGGTGTTAGGGTAGAAAGACGAAAGTGCAATGCAGTTCAGTGAGATCTTTTTTTTGAGTGTGTATTTTGGTCGGTGCTTTCAGATGTCTCTGTCATCTCTTTTTCTCTTTTCATTTAATTGGTCCATGAATATCCATTTGATCAGAGCTTTTGGAAAAGGAATAAATTCAGCAGCGGATCGCGAAATCTTGGACGTGTTCTTCTCTATCTAATGAATGGGGAGGAGATCGAATTTCCTGTTGTTCCTAAGTAGCTCAGTGGTAAAGCAGCTGGTTGTTAACCGATTGGTCGTATTGTATACGTTATTAGTTTGATCATTTATAGGAACTACCTGTAATAACGAACTTGCAAAATGGATTGAAGCGAGAGTAATTATTCGAGATGACTATTTAATTGAAATTAGAGTGACAATTTCTTATCCAGCTTTTGAAAGTCATTTCTAAGATTACAAACAGAGTGCAGATAAGCATATCAATCCAAATAACATGCTTGTAAGGCCACGGACATCTACAAAAATTATCTGGTAAAAAGCATAAAACTTGTAGGGAAGTGAAGATCTCCGCATAATTACGCTTCTAATGGAAAAACATAAGCGGAAAGGAAATTTGATATAAATTGTGTCGAAAATATGTTGCATAAATGTATACTACAGTAGGAATATGCTTTGTTGCTTATGAATCTTCCTACATGAATGGCTTTGAATCATGCACATAAGCTAGCACAAAACTTAATTGAGGGCAGGTTTAGCCCTCAAATTAGCTGAAAAAGGAGAGCATATCCTTCTTCTTATTCATTTTCATTCTCTTCCTTCTTTTCTTGGACAATTCACTTGGTGAGCTTTTTGTCTTGCACAATTGAAGTGGAATTCAAATACTATCAGTAGCATCACAGTCTTTTTCCTTTCATGTTTTCCCTTCCCCTCGCCGCCCTGATATAATATAAAGATTATGCAACAAAAAAATATCGATTTTTTTTCCTGTTCACTCGCTTAAGGGAGTAAAGTCATTAATGATGTCATGAGTGATAGAAAATACACTTTTACAAGCATATAGGGTATAAGAGGAATCCCTCAAAATTTATGTTTGTAGTTAAAATTATGGGACACGTTGAGATAGGTCTTTATATAGTAATCCTTCTTTTTATTAGATTATAAAATAATTAAAATTAAACTCTCTAATGAAATGAAATTAATACAAGGATAGTTAAATACATGCCAAATGTACAAAACAAAACCTATTTAAAATTTGCTACTCATATGCGCCTAAAAAGATCAATTTTTCTTCCGACTCTATATGACTAACAACCGTTAAGTTTTGGAAAACTTAGAGAAAAATATAACTTTTTGTTAACAATAAAATAGATTAAAACTTGAAATCTTATGTTTTAAGATTTGAAAAATTCTTTTTGTCATTCGTATATTAGGAAAGGATTATTTAAGTCTTTAATTATCGCGCAAAGCGCGAGCAAATCACTAGTTTGAAAATAATGCAACAATACAGAAAAGAGGAGAGAAATTTTCAAATTTTTATAGACAATGAAAGGGTGAGATGAAGAGGTGCATTCCAAGAGTTGCCTCTTCTATTTCCCATTCACACCCCTTAATAAAAGGGTGACATGAAGAGGTGCAATCCAAGAGGTGCCTCTTCCATTTCCCATTCACACCTCTTAATAAAAAACGCAACAGTATCTTCCTATTTATAAGCCACAGCTTACTTCGACGTTTTCAATTTTCCATTTATCCTTTGTCTTTTGTAGTTTCTCCTTATTTTTTTAATCAAATCAAGCATTTCTTTCTCATGGAAAAGAAGCGCCAAATGAAGACCTTGAAGAAAACGTTTTCCCCTTATTGTCCCTTCCTAAGGACTTAGTTGCTACTATTATTGCCAAAGTTGCTTCTTTTTCGTCCAAGGATTACTTGAATGTCAAGAACAAGTATGTATATTTCTTATATCTATTCCTTTATATGAGAAAGAAAATTGTCTAAATATTTTGATTTTTTAGTTGCAAGGTTATGAATGAAATATCAGAGGACCGACAAGTTCTTAAGAATTTATCACTTGAACGCTTTCGCGAAGATTATTGGCGGCCTGCACATTATTTGCATAAGCTAGATAGTTTACTAGAGAGGTGCAGAGAGTGTGAGAATCTAGAAGCCAGTATTGGGAAAAAAGTTGAATTTATATTGAAGATGACGTGGCGTGACACGTGGACTGGACAAGTGGTCAAAGCGTAACAATTGGGAAAAAGGTACGGGAAACGACAGGTACGGGAAGAAGAAGTGAAATAGGTACGAGAAGCAGTTTAGACACGAGTCTCGTACCAATTCGAAGTCATTTAAGGCCAGTGGGTCGAAAGGCATTGAAGACATGAATCTGAAGACAAAAAGGAGTCCAAATTCAATATTAAATACCTGATACGTTAGAAAATTAGTATTTAATAGGAATGATTGTGTAACGGCTCATTTAATGTCATTTATTGTCCATAATTGTCTCATTAAAGCTTAGGTTTTATTCCTTTACCTAGAATCAACTATAAAAGGAGGAAGTTGTATTGGGAAAAGGACATCATTTACATCATACTGAAATAAAAAAATTCGTTTACTGCTTTATTATTATTCTCAGAAAGTCTATTATTATTTTGGTCTCTTGATTATCAGTAACCCGATTTTTCATCTCAAATTCTAGTTTTACCCAAAATATTATTTCTTTGGTGAAACAAAGCCTTGTATAGAAAGGGTTTGGTATGAATTAGTTAATCCTTATCTTTTTAATGTGTACATTTTTAAATGGTAATTTGGAGTCCCATACTTAAGAATTTATATTGATTTTTATTTCAATGGTTGTAATTGTTAGATTGACTTCTT